ACTAATACCATAAAATATCCAGGACATGCGTTGACTGACTAATACCATAAAATATCCAGGACATGCGTTGACTGACTAATACCATAAAATATCCAGAACATGCGTTGGCTGACTAATGCCATAAAATATCCAGAACATGCGTTGACTGACTAATACCATAAAATATCCAGGACATGCGTTGGCTGACTAATACCATGAAATATCGAACATGCGTTGACTGACTAAAAGCATTGTCTAAACAACAATAACTTTACTATTGAGAACATTTTTGTAAATTGACTGACAGACTGGCTATGACAGTGATTCATTGGTCAATTTCATAAGATCAGATCATATCTACATGTATAAACTACCGTAAATAAATATGCAACAGCTGCCATGACGTATATAATAGTTTGTCTTTAATTCCTATCAATCAAAATTTACTTGCTATAAAATGTTCCGATAACAAGAAAACCAATAGTCATTTTAAGTTTTGGTAAAAGTGAAGTCTTCATTTCGAGCCATATATATCCCCATAAATTACATATTCGAAACATGGTAAAATAAATATATATATTGCTTTTTAATTAGGTCGTTTTCATTTTTAATCCCATTAAATTTTCACTGAAGTTCTATACCTTTTCATGCTATTGTAAATGTACAATGTATTTCGCTCTCAGATACAAATTTTTCAAAGGAATATTTCTTACAAAAGCTGATTTTCTAAAGGAACAGAATCGATCATTCCATTGAATTTATTACCGTATTACAAAATAAAGAGAAAACCACAGCTTCATTTTGTACTTTGTATAACATTGTCTTTTCTTGTGGTTGAAACAGTTCGAATACAAAAATTCATGAGGGTTTTATATACCGGAAACTTGTTAAGCTGAAGACCAGCATGCTTTCAGTTTTAAAAGTGTCTTTGTTAGACAGCATAAAATTCTGTATAAAGTCTGCATTGAGGATTGGATAAAAATGTTCCTTAGAAAAAGACATGATCCGTACAGGTTAAAACAGCTGACGTATGTACTTATAAGTTCAAGTAACTAGAAGATCACATTTGTCTGATATTTATTTTTGGCTCTTTTCAGCTTTAATAGAAATCATTAATCGACATGAAATGTAAACATGAAAAACAAACAATTACTTTTACGTCATTTGGTCTCTTGTGGAGAGTTGTCTCATTGGCAATCATGCCACATCTTCTTATTTTTAAATTAAAAACAAATGAAAGTTGAAATAAATTTGATTACTTGAAAAACAAATCTGACATCGGACAAGCCTTAACTAGAGATGCAAGCTACGTTAATATCGTGATAGCGTGTGTAAAAAACAAGCTACGTAAATATCGTGATAGCATGTGTAGAAAATAAAGAAATTACGATAGTAATAAAAAATATGAAAACAAACAATATTGAATGCACTTTAGGTTAGTTATCATAGACTGACATATTATAATAATAAGAGTGGTGGAATTGGATCCTTGCCAAACATAAGAAATTAGACTTATGGAACGAGTTTTGGGAATTTGTGAAATATTATGACCTGATATTATATCGAAATTCTTATTTTCTAAAAATATCATCAGATGTAAAATGAGACGTTTAAAAGGTACTCGTTTCCATGTAGAAATTGGTTATAGAAAATTATCCAAATCGTATGTAATGTGATATTTCACTTGCCTTGATTTTTTGATATCACTCGAGGTGTTGATAATTCTCAGTTCATAAATATAATAAATATTACTGTCGAAAGGGCAAATAGCATTTATTTCATTGACAAAAAAAAACTAATAGAAAAAAGGGACGTAACTCTAAAATCATGAACCAGCATCCTCATGATATTGCCTTATGGATTGTTTTACTGTAGATTGGCCATGGGGAATGACACTTGACTACGCTAGCACCAATATAAAAGCTGATTTTTTTTCTCCAATATGAAATATTACCTGATAACTATTTGAAATGGCGTTCTCGTCTTACGCTTGTACTTATATTTAAACTGAACCCACTGTCATGCCTGGTAAGATCAAATTACCAATTTACACAGTTTCGAAGGTATGCAATACTGTAAGTGCTATTTTATATTTAGGTTCACTAAAGTTGTATACTGAGGAACAAATTAATCTTACTCAAGTCAGGTCGAAACTTTATTTTTTTGTATTTACTTTAAAATTTGCTTAAATTAAAGATAAAAATAACTATTTTACTCCATTTAACATCTATGTTAACTGACAAATACGATTTGTAGAATGACATTTTTAGCCTCATTTGATGCAAAATATATATTGAAAAGAAGGCGTTTGAAATCTGACATTAAAGACCATTGCCACGGAAACTTTTAAAACCTCGACCCAAATTGGCAAGATCAACTTTCTTTTGATAATCGTGAATGTAGCCAGTTCATCAGTAATACACCAGTTTCACATAAGCGACTTATCAGCCCTGATCTCGAAATCATATGCGCGTTTTAGTTTAAATCCCGCGATAATTAACGATATCATACGTGACAGGGGGCTATCTAACTAGCCTGGCATCCTGACCCAATTTAATACTTCGTCAATCAGTAAGCCAGGATCCCAGGCTACTATCTAACCCGAATAATTCAGTCGGTATATTCCGCTGATCTACGATTACTTCATGAACGCAAGTAGGAGAGATCGATTACGGGGAGGGACTGAATCATTCGGGTTAGGGGCTATCAAATTTACCCTTATATTTGGCAACACAATAATAAATACCGATAATACACATCTTTCTCTCTTAAAACAGATGATACCAGTACACAGTATGTTTGTCACGGCGAACGTAGCTATTATGTATTGTACATGTACAGGGATTTTAAACGTGTAGAAAGACATGCACATTAGATTTTTGTAACAAATGATGTAGTTTTTTTTTTAATCTTTATTATACAGCTGTCATTATTTATATTGATTAATCAGCATGCGTTCATGTATACATTTACTTACTCATAACATATTGTATTTCAACACTCTAACATTTTGAGTGTCTCTAAGAACAGGTAATGCAATTATATATTCTTTAGAACATGTATTTGGTTTTATAATTAGAAAAATGTGGAAATATCCTTCCGACGTAGTACTAGTAAAATATTTGTTATGTAAAAAATATCTATTTACTTATTCTGATTAATAATGAATGAATTTACAATAAGATATCATTATCAGTAATTGAATATCCTGCTTTACCATAAAATAAGATCAAATTGCTAAATGACCCCCCTCCTGAATTATTAAAATATATCTAGTTGCATTTACCGTAATATCTCAGTGTAAATTATGTACATGTATCTTATACAGAAACAAGGTTTACATTTTTAACATCTGTATTACAAAATGCAGGAAATAATTGTGTACAAAAGTTAAATAAATTGTTCGCGCAGCAAAAAATGAAAAAGAATGCGTAGAAACTGGAACATTAAATCGTGACTGACAGTATAATGTTCCCAGTTAGCAACAGATGACGATGAATATTCAATCCGAAAAAAATGCTTCTGGCTGCCGTCAGAATATCAAATGGTGGTCCCCTTTTCAGCAACTGTATGTAGAAAAGGGTACGTTTTTATCAATTGTCACCTGGTGAGATTGTACAAGGTAAAACTAGGATTCCACATGGCTAAGGTGTTAATTGACTTCTTAATTGATCAGTGACCTAATTTATGGATATGAAGTGACCCCCGCTTATTTTTTCTATTTTATTCTTCCCGCTAAGTGAACGACCTCAGCGGGAATCCAAACATTTCTTCGTGACAATTAAAGGTACAACGTTAGGCGGCATATTAGATCGTCTGTTACTCTACAACACAACAGTAGTCCGTTTAAAAATTTCACAGTTTGGCTAATAAAGTTAGACATGCGCAGTTAAATGTGAAACTGGTGTAGTTACTTCACTATAATGATCTTGATATAGTTAATATTGAGGTATCCATTCCCTGATTAGAACCAAATGTAAATAGATCATTGCTTTTGCATTATTATAAGTAACATATAGTGTATTGATAATGTCTGAGTTAATTGATATTAAATCGTATTGATTGTAAATCTGCAGCTTAATTTGCTGAGAAAAAAATGCCGTGAGATTATTATACTGTCAAATCCAGTGTAAGACGATTGATCAAAAAGTGTTATTACAGTATTTGTAAGTCAAGACATTAGAAATATAGGTAATTTTCTGTTATCATGCCAGTCATATATACTCAGAAAATATATCGACGGCTTGTATTATTGTAGCAGATATTCAGTAGGCTAAATGTATACCTGCTTAATAACATTTAGGAATAGATCGATGGCCATTATAAATTATAATCATAGCGAATTAAAAGTGAATAAATTACCGGCAGCATATATTTGCTTATTGCCCTGTTGTCACTATCAAATTTTTTCTTAATCAAAAACTTGATCAAAGAAAAGGAGGGAGGTCAATATTTACAAAGAGAAAAATAGTACAAATGAACTTCTGATAGAATGACTTCACAACAATTTGACCGTGTATTTTTCGTGGTATCATTTGAAGGAAACAAATTAGATATCGTACAATAAACTCATCATAGAGTGAGAAGGAAGGGATAATCATCTAGATGCTAAGAAGAAGACATAGAAATGCCTTAGACACTCGCCTTCAAGATTTCTTAGTATTTTACGACCATAATTACAAATAGTTATAATTACTGAAATATTCGAAAAGATAAGCATGGGATAGTACCACAGTAACTTTACATTGGTACTCGTCAGGACAAAATGAAAAGTTTCACAAGAAATATAGAATTGCATCAGTTTATTCTAAAAGGTATGCATATCCAGCACGTTTCTTTAATAAAATGTTTTATTCTGAATTTAACACTGGACACTTTTAATTTGCAAAACACTCATTTGCAAATCCGCCGCCGCCTCTCCTTAGACCTACAATGTCGTGTATATAACCAAAATGTGCGGAATTACATAGGATTCAATAATTTCATTGCTTTTCTACTGTTATTATTATACATATTCTGTAATTTGATTTAGAAAAACATGGGATTTTCAATATCCCATGGGATACGGCAAATCCCATGGGATTGACCATTATCCCATGGGATTTTGGTTAAATCCCATAGGATTTTTTTGGGTCCCATGGGATAATTGTAGTCCCATGGGATATTTGTTGTCCCATGGGACAAAAAAAATCCCATGGGACTATAATTATCCCATGGGATTTTTAATATCCCATGGGACAAAATAAAATCCTATGGAATTCAAATTATAAATATACAGTAATGTGTATGTTACAATGAATTCTGTTTGGTAGTAAAAAGTTTATAATATATATATGACATGTATGAGTGTATTTTGGTTTTTTTCATTTTGTCACAAACATGTTTTTAATTTGTTTATATGACAATAAAGATTATTATTATTTTGGAAAGTATAATACTATTTAAAGTCAAAAAATAAAATCCTTTAACTGAAATAAAATGATGACATGTCTTAATAAAAGAAAAAAATATTGATTTGAAATCTTTGTCTTGTTTGTTTTATTATGAAAAATAGAACTGAAAAAAATATTTCATATTCTGACTGAATAAATTGACAAAGCACAGTAAATAGTTTACTCTTTTCATGAGTTAAAGTTTTCTTTGTTATAGTTCCATTTCAATACATGAATATGCAAACGATTTGAATCTTATACCTTTGTGGTGTTCATAATATTACGTTTATATTTGCAAATTTATAAAATAAACACTTTTCCTGTTAAGTTTTAGTTTTTCTTGTTTCAGCTTGCTATGTACAATTATTCAGTCCACTATATAAGAGTGAAGTAAATAAATTATTTCATCCACTAGAATATTCCTACAATTCTAAGACAAAACCTCTTTTGCAATCTGTTCTTCAAAAATCTTCCACCGTACATCTTTATTGGATGGAGCGATTTAAATGAGTGGACAAAGCAAGTTCATTTGGACAACAAAATACTAATATATTTTTTCATTCCTCCCTTCTTTCAATTGATAATTACGTTGTTGCATTTACATGATTAAGTTCTTGTGCATCTATGATCATGATGATATGACGCCTTTTTGTTTATAGTCATTATGATGAAATTTCCTCTTTCTTATGTAGGAAAAAAACACATTCCATTTCAAATTAATAAAAAAGTCACACTATGTAGAAAAATATCAACTTTAAGTTTTCTGTTCAGTATTGACTTGTTGAATGATGATCATGAAAACCAAGATGTCTGACCTACAAATACACAAAACTCAAAAATTATAAATGAAGAGAAATACAGCAATAAAATGGCTATTTTATCATGTTTATGTACATTTTGATAAAACTTTCATTTGAATATTTAAAATTGTAAGAACTCTTATTTCAGTGCTTTGTGTCTATGGTTTTCATATTAGTTGTTTTTTGTGCCTTGTTGCAGTCTTTTGAGTTAAGCCAATTGCAACAAATGTTTACAGTTTGTTCAAATGTTGTGCTGTTATTAAAACCACTGTCCCAGGTTAGGGGTGGGTTGGGTGCTCACAAAATGTTTATTTTATTAGTTGATATTTGCTTTGAATTAGCTGTCAGTAACTGTCAGTACTAATAGATCTGTATGTTGAGTCTTTTTTGTTAAAGGGAAAGAATAAATTTCCAGCCACATCCGGTCTGTGTTTTTGGTAGCTGTTTTTCTGCTTTGTTGCATTCTAATGAGTTAATAAAATTGAAAATGAAAACGGGAATGTATCAAAATAACCTGACCAAAGAGCAGAAAATAGCCCTTTTCAACTGATTTTATAGTTTTTATATTTAAATGAACTGACACTTACACCACTGTCCTTAATTAGAGGAGGATTTGGCGCCAGCAAACATGTTAAACCATGCCACATTTTGTAAGTGGCTGTCCCAAGTCAGGGGCCTGTTATTCAGTGGTTGTCAATTGTTGCTATATATCATATTTGTTTTTTATTTTTTGTTTTGTGCAAAAATCAGGCACTTAGCTTTCGCCTTTGTGGTGTTTTCCCCAAGCATGTTTAGCATGGATAGACACCATGCCCTTTTTAAATTGTTTTACATTTGTTATTTCATGCCCTTTTATAGATTACTATGCAGTATAGGGTTTGCTCATTGTTGAAGGCTGTACAGTGAACTAATTTTGTTAAATTTAATGTCATTTGATCTCTATTGGAGAAAAGTCTCATTGGCAATCATACCGCTTCTTATCTTTATATCAACCCTGCCATATTTTGCCTGTCCAAAATCAGGAGCCTGTACATAGTTCAGTGGTTGATGTTGGTTCAAGTCCGTCATATTTGTTTTTTCATAACTTGTTTTTTTTTTATAAATTAGTCTGGTATATTTGAAGTTTGAATTGATGTTTTGTTCCAAATTTTGTTTGTGGTGTCTTTTATAGATGACTATATCATGTATAGGGTATGGGTTTTCTCATTATTTACAGGTCATCATTGGCCTCTAATAAGTAATTGCATTGCTTACATCCACTTAATTGAACTCTGGTGGATAGTTTTCTTATTTATCATACCACATCTTATTTTCATAATAATCATTATTCAAGGGCAATAACTTTTATAGAAGTGGACTTACCATTTAGGCTTTGTTGACGTCTGTAAATCTATTTTTGTTGATAATTTCTTTTGTTTATAGTTTCCCTTTATCTTTAATGTCCTTGCCCTACACATAAAAGGGTAAACATTATCATTTAATGACAATAACTACTATCACATAATTAGTACTAGTAGGCAACTGACAATTTTGGATATTTTTATATCTTGTCTTGCTATTCATTTTTGCTGTTTAATATTATCAATATTCTATGAAAATGAGGTCACAGCAATATTAACCTTGGCAGACAGACATCTTGTTATTTTTATATGACACCTTGCAGTCATTCCATAAACCAACAAGTAGACATATGCTTATAATATCTGTTAAAATGAAAAAACCAAGAAAACTTAGCATTGACCAAAGAACCATAAAATGCGGTCATGGTTATATGAATCTGCCAGACAGACATGCATACCTTACAATTGTTACATCCACCAAATATAATTTACCTGTTGCTTAAAGCATATGATAAACTGACAAAACAATGCAAACTTTTCATTGACCAATGAACCATGAAAATGAGGTCAAGGTCATATAAAACATGCCAGACAGACATGTGCATCTTACAATCATTCCATTCACCAAATATAGGGGCCTTATTGCTAACAGTATCCGAAAAATAGATCAAACCACAAAAACTAAACATTGTCCAATGTACTATGAAAATAAAGTCAAGGTAAGATGAAACTTCTCAGTCAGACATATGCACCTTACAATCATTCCATACACCAAAAATAGTTGACCTATGCTAATTTGAAAATAAGGAAATAGAAAAAGTGACAAAAAAACAAACAAAAAAAATAACATTGAGCAATGAACCATAAAAATGAGGTCAAGGTTGAATAAAACATGCCAGACAAACATACATCCTTAAAAATTTTCATACACCAAATATACTTGACATGATGCATACAGTATTAGAAAAACTGGACATTTTTACCTCGGAATAGTGATGTCATGGACTAGGAAAATTAGTCTGGGGACATAAATTACTGACATCGGACTAAATATACTAGTAAATTCTGTATCCATGGACTTTTAATACTAGTTATATTTGTCTGACCAGACAATTTTCATTATTTTTACCAGGACTAATTTATCTCTTACACTAGTTCTCTGAGAGACATGTCACCTTACCTTGACACATTATTCTGACTCTGAACAAACCAGTATTTGCTCTTACACCTTAATAATACAGCGTGCTTAAGGGAGAAGCAGCAAATACCAACTTTAAAGTCTTTAGTTTTACCCGGTTGGGTTCAAAATAAACAACCTTCTGCACTTGAGGTGAAAATGCTACCACCAGACCAGGCAGTATAATATAAGGAGTTTACCCAAGATCTAAAATGGACAGTAGATTTTTTTTCAACATTCTGGACATTTCTACCCTTGTCAGATATTGTCTATCTATTTTGGCCTTTTGTAGCTTATTAAGCAGTTTGCCTTTTTAGCCCATTGTTGAAATCTGTACGGTGACCTTTATAGTTTTAACTTCTATGTCTTTAGTTTCTGTTGAAGAGCCGTCACATTGGCAATGATACCATATTTGTATATATTTTTGTCATGTAGGTGTAAGGAGACAACCTTTTGATATTCTGGTGGGATAAAAAGGGGAGACAGATTTTTTATCACCTGGCCTGGTTAGTTTTTCAGGATTCGTAAGGATAGAAAACCCGGTAAATTGTAACAAACCCCTGTGGTACGACCATATTTGCCAAAAGATTAGTCCAAATAATTATGACGTCTTGCAAGGCTATTTTTTACTTTTTTCTGGGCACGTAATAGTCAAAGTTGTGACTGAGTGCGGAAATATGAAGATAGATAGATAGAAAAAAAAATTAAAATAGCCTTGCAAGACGTCATAATTATTTGGACTACCAAAAGATGTAACCTAATTCTTACTTGTTTGGGGAAGAGGGGATTAACCGAACCACTATTCAATCTAAATCAGTGAACTGAATTATTGTCTTTTGCAGTAGTCCGAGTCGACATCTGTAACTAATCGTGCAAATTGATAGTCAACAGTATACCTTTTTTCAGAATGTCAGCTTACAACAAAGAATCACTGGTGATAGGGGAGTGTAACCGATAAATTGATCCTGAATCAGATAAGATTTTCCCAGTAACGGAGAACCCCTTTCTTTGAGTGAATATAAATAGTGACGGGGGGAAGTTATTTACGGTAAAGAGAGACTGTGCTCCTGAAGTAAGGTATTTGACATTTGTGTATTTTACTCGGGGGGGGGCACTTCCTATATACAAGATGATAGGACGTGCCGCTGGAATAGGTCACTTTTTCATGCTTGAAAATATGGGAATAGGTGCAGGGGAAAACTATCAGAAATATATGATAAGGTCGATAAAGTTCCAATTACTTGTATATGAAAAGGCCTGTCATTTTTTCACAGCAGAAAGTCTCGCCGTAAGTAAACATTACACACAGAATCTTAGCCTTAAATATTCCACTTTACCAACACACCCCACGAAACCCAATCAATATGGGAAAAGGTTACAATTTTACCCACGCAATATATGAAAAGGTATACATTTTTAAGATCTAAATTATATGAAAAGGGTGGGGTAACAGAACCCCAGCGACACCCCCTATCAATTAAATATTGAAGTGCACCTCCCCCCCCCCCCCCGCCCCCCAGAGGTATTTTACTGCTACAAGATATTTGATTTGCTAATCACGCACCCGTTGCTGAGCAGAGAACAATACTTTCAAGCCAGGGACAGTCTATACTAACAGCCAAATAGGCAGGCAAATCCTAACAGTACTGTAACTTAATGATACATGTATATCAAGTTACAGCACCTCACCCAGCACAGTTAGCACACTGGTGTATGTCAGTCTTATAATATAAAACTGCGTAGGTTCATATCGTTTGATTCAACGTTTTTTCGGATATTTTTTAGGACCGTTGTCAACATAGTCAAATCCGACCTGCCACTTTGCAACCTGACCTGCAAAAATATAATTCGACTAAAAAAAATGCCAGTCAAAATTGCTTTCTGAGACTGGGCGACTGAAAAAGTTTTAAAATGTGACCTTGTGACCCTATTTGGAATTCTCCATTCGTCGGTGTGGCTAAAAAGGGGGCATCTTTATTAAAAAAAACCAAGACCAATCATAAACTTTTTTTTCAAAACTCAGTGTCGTATTTTATTGTCTTCCCAACAATTTTTAATAAAAGCTTAAAATGTTTGTTTCACTTCCCTCTGACTTCCCTCCTGATTTTTTTTTCTCAAGAAATTATAGAATCAGTAAATGTATATATATATAAATATATGTCTATGGGCACCGTCATGCATTTAGATAAGAAATTCCAGCATGCATCATCAAATAATTCATGTGTATTTGTGACATCAACATAACTGAAACATTATATTATTTCCCAGTTATTAGGTAAATCATTTTGATTTACAATTATATATGTCTGGGACTTATGCATGTATATGTCTCACAGGCACTTGTCTCAGAAAAAAAATCCTATATACTTTAATAAAGGTATATAGGAAATAAAATTCTGAGACAAGTGCCTGTGATATATCTGTCAGTCCCAGAATAATAAATATAATTGTATCTTAATCTTTGGAAAAATCCGATTAGTCAATTGTTAAATTCTTTTACTTCATAATTATGTCAAAGTATACTTTTAAAGTTTTAAATTTTAAAGTTAAAATGAAAATTCCGTTTTGATCTGAGGAAAAACTTTTTAAACTGTAATGACATGGTCAGTCAACTGATTTGTTACATGGTTGATTACAGGTAATTAAAGCATGCAGTAATTTTCCATTACGACAGTGCGTGTACCCTGGGGTGTGTATAACGTATTAGAAATACCATAGTTATCTAGAGAACATCCTGTCTATGTGTAATACAGATTGATGACATTACACAAAATTTCTTTCGTTAAATGTAGTTAAGTATCTGTGTCCATTCCCTATTGCAACACTACAAATTTTTCGTAGAAAAAAATGTTAAAATTCAAAAAAAAAATCATTTATATATAAAATAAAGAAGAAAAAAGTAGCAAATAAACTTATGTAACTACGCATTTAGTAAACATAATTTCACTTTACATGTACAAACCCTTGAGAAAACGTGTATATAGTTGTGTTTAAAAAGGCCAATTCCCAGTGGATTTATTTCACACTAGGACCACAGGCACTTGTCTCAGAATTTTGTTTTCTATATACCTTAATATAACATTAAAAGTATATAGGAAATTTTTTTTCTGAGACAAGTGCCTGTGACTAGGACCTAAGATAACTAGAACTAAGTTCTTTGGAAAGTTTTTTGTCTGATACATGTATACCTATAGATAATGTACATAATTAAGAACAGCTTCAAATATATGCCTATAAATTAACGGTACGTCTAAAAACCACTCAGGATCTCCTGAGTGCAGACAGGACATAAAAAGTCACTCAGGACATGTATATATGTTTTACGTCTAGTAATGGACTTCTGGTTTTAGTGAGCGTTGTTTTATTTTAGAGATATTGAGTTTTTTGTAAAAAAAAAGGGGGGTTTTCGCATGTCACGCCGTATGTCAGAAACTATTTATGCTTATTGCATAAAAATTCACACACAAGACGACGGGCGTATCATGCGCTCATGGCGCATGCTGTTTATTGGTCTTATAATTTTGGTTTTGATAAAATCAAACCAACATTAAAGAAGTTATTTGGGATACGTCATGCATAACCGATGATCATATTCAATACCAATCATCATTTTGATTAGGTCGTTTGATCTTTAATAATTAGGACTGATTGGTGATAGTTATAAACACATACAAGTAAACTTTGCTAAAAAAAAAAAAAAGAAAGCGTTTCCTTGGAAAAATTATAATAATACATGAATATTGTTTTTACAAAAAAAAGTTATTTTTTTCGTTTTGTATGTAATAATTGAAGCCATTTAGAAATATAAGAAATCTTCACATAATCGGGAAATTTTCAATTCAAGTTTTTTCATTTGAAAACTTTAAAAAATATAGATCTTATTCGATGTAAAATGTGGGGTCCTTGGAGATCAAAACCCCGTTTAAATAGGG